ACTGCAGCTTCACAGAAATATTTCTGTGAACTTGTACTTCTGGTAAAGGGAGAACGTCTGTGTGTTTATATCTGCTTAGTGTGCTGCTCTTGGTTCCTGTGCTGTGTTCACGTCCCCGCTGCAGATCAGCAGCAGTTTAATCGATCCGTGGAGCCTCCAAGACATCAGAGGTCAACGTGTTGCCGTGTCGTCCAGCAGCTCTGACGTGTTGAAGGCTGTGAACTGATGAATGTTTCATTGTGACAGCAGAAAGCAGCAGCAGGAGCCAAGGACACGCTAATGAGCAGAAGCCTTCAGAGCTTCAGCTTGGTGGAGCTGATGTCTGATGCAGATCAGAGTTCAGGCTTCATGTCACCTTGTCGTGTATCTGAGGAGCCACTCGGGAACTTGACCCGAGTCACGTTCCATCGGCTTATATTTCAGACACGAGCTGTCTGGAGCCACTAATGCAGCGTCCAGTTCTAACTACAGAACCCGGGCCGCTGGACGCTGAGCCGTGGTTCTGGTTCCAACAGCAGCTTCATGAGATTGTTTCCAAAGAGCAGAGGTGGGAAGTCACAAAGTACAAATACTTCTTTACTTAAGTACATTCTGTACTTGAGTATGAATGTTTCTGACGACTTTCTACATGTGAACACTAACATCTGGACTTTCTGCTCCTGACTCGGTTCAGACGTCTTTATGTTTCCCAGCAGTGAAGCTCAGCACAGCCTGCCAGAGGCTGTTCAGCACTGCTGGACTGATGTTCAGACCCAAAAGGGCCCGTCTCCATCCAGAGAACTCTGAGAACCAGCTTCTGCTAAGGCTCAGTAACAGATGGTGTTGAAGAGACGAGTGTTTCCATGACGATGTTTAATGTTCATCGTTTCTCTGAGAACAGTTGTAGGGTTTGGGTTAGGGTTTGGGTTTGGGTTTGGGTTAGAGTTAGGGTTGTCCTGCTGTGAGCTCCAGACGGTCAACATTCATCCTGACTCCTGTACGTCAGTAAAGGTCTGAACCTGCAGCTTCACACTTCTACCTGAGTAAAGCAGCTGAGTCAGTACTTCTACTGGTACCAGTCTGTTTGTACACAGAGTCCTTCTGCCAAAGAGGGTCATTCACAACAAACACATGTGGGGTTCTGCAAAGAACCGGAACGAGTTCACAAACAAGTGCAATTAGACCATAAACACAGAGAACAAGTCATTTCCATCAAAGCTCAGTGATGATCAGCTGGTGCTGATGGAGGCTGGCAGGAGGTTCTGACCCGACTCTTCAGCACAGGGAGAAGCGTCGGCAGTTGATGTTCATCTTTGTGACTCCGATGAGCCTCAGCGGCGCCGACAGTCCGAGACCCGGCGACGCCGGACCTTCACAGAGCAGCTCAGACAGCTGGTCCTGCTCCTCCAGACTGCAGGTGGCGTCGTTGAGCATCCGGCGGTGCTGCTGACACGCCTGGTCCACCTTCAGCCTGCTGATGTCATCGCGCAGAGCCATCAGCTGACGGGCCAAGAGCTGGTCCTGCAGCTGCATGTCTGACTGGAAACAGCACAGAGATGCACTGGGAACCAGTTTAAACAGGCTCAGACCTACTGGGAACCAGTTTAAACAGGCTCAGACCTACTGGGAACCAGTTTAAACAGACTCAGACCTACTGGGAACCAGTTTAAACAGATTAAGACCTACTGGGAACCAGTTTAAACAGGCTCAGACCTACTGGGAACCAGTTTAAACAGACTCAGACCTACTGGGAACCAGTTTAACAGGATCAAACCTACTGGGAACCAGTTAACAGAAAAGAGAAGAACTCACCAGTTCTGTCCGGAGCCAGCTGAGAGCTTCATCCATGTTCTTGAATCCCTTCAGTGGACCTGAGGTCAGTTTGCACTGAGTCGCAGTTGCTTCCATCTTCTCGTCTTGCTGATCGATCCGGATCGGTTCTGATCCAGCTCCAGACTCCAGCCGAGCTTTCCACTCCAGGTACGAAGGCCTCCTGGTCTCCAGCCGTAACTTCTCCGTCAGGGCCTTCAGATTCAGGAGGTGGTCGTCTGCAGGTGGATCTCCAGCGTCTGTTTCCATGACGACGTGAGGAGCTGAAGGTTTGTCCATCGTCGTCTTCATCAGCTGCTGCCTCCTTCCTGCTTCTCTTTCACTCGTTTGGAAAATCTGTTTGGAGGATTTTCTGATGCTGCAGAGGAGAGAAGAAGCAGCGTTTAGAAGATCCCCAGACCCCTGGTGGTCCTCTGGTCAGGCTCTATGTCTCAGACGCTCCTTCAGCCGCTTTGGATCACAGCATGCTGTTACAGCATCACAGGATTTTCATCTGAGCGAAAACAAAGCGTTTCCATGGAAACCACACAAGCTGTAAGTGAATCAGCAGTTTCCAGCCTGACGTGGTTCTGGGATGTGGGTCAGACTGGAGCCGCTACAGACGGTTCATCTGAGCAGCCGCAACGCCGTCAGGTCCAGCTTCAGCCGTCTGGAGCCGCTGGATAGGATGAATACAGATCATGTGATCCGGTCTCTGATCAACATTCAGGCGATCGGTCGCTGATCGAACCGTGTCGGTCCTGATTGGACCGTGTTGCCCCTAATCGGACCGTGTCGGTCCTGATCGGAC